GGCACTCCTGGCCCCGCCGTCCAGCAGTCCGATGGTGCTGCCCCCGCTCCCTCCTTAGTTCTTCTTCCAGACTGGCCACCATGGCCTTGAGCACAGCCACCTCCTGGTGAGTCGTGGCCCGGCTGCCTGCCTCTTCTCGTGCCCGGCCCAGGGCTACCTCCAGCTCCCTCTTCTCATTTACTGCCCGGCTCAGCCTGTGAGGAGAAGGCCAGGACAGGCTGAGGTCCACCCCTGTATTCACCCCACCCAGCCCAGGCCAGGTCTCAGGGCCCTGGAAGACTGCATGGCCAGGCGTGCAGGGGATCTTGCCTCCCATGCCTTCATCACCTCCTGCCCCCACACACCACCCAGAGTCCCCCCCAGGGGCCCTCCAGACTACATTAACTGGGCCTCAGTCCCAGCGAACAAAGAAACTCACTGCTCCCGAAGGTGGCGGATCTCAGCATCCCGCCCATCGCGGGATCGAAGCTCGGCCAGCTCCTCCTTCAGGGACCGAATGATGCCCTGAAGAACCACGGGGTCGGGCTTGCCCTGGTACGGGAGGGGCAGTGGGTAGTGGATCCTAAAGGATGACAAAGAGGCCCATCTCAGATCCGGGGGGTTCCTGAGACCACCCCCTCCAGGACTAGTGGCCACTAATCCCCGCCCCCCCCACCCCCAGCCTGGCCCAGGTAGCCTCCGAAGCCCAGCCCTGAGAAATCCCAAGAACGAAAGCTGACATTCCTATGGCACCTTAAGGTTTGCCACGAGCTTCACAGCAATTATCTTCCCCTAACTCTGAGGTAGGACGTGCGAGTATTTGTCAACAGACAAGGGGCACCACAGGGTTAGAGATCTGGAGGTGGAAAAGACTTTGGAGGTCACCAAGTGCAATGTCCTCATTTTACAAGGGAGGAAACTGAGGCACAGAAAAGGTGAATGATGTGCTGAGGTCCCAAGCCAGCATCCTATCTATTTAGTCTCTAAGACCCTCGGGCAGAGCCACAAGTCCCCCAGCTCAAGGATCCCCTCAGGACCACAGGTACTTGGAACTGGGCCAGAGAAGGGGATCTGGCTGGTCCCCCACCTGTCAAACTCAACTGAGTAGATCAGGATCAGGTAACGCTTAGAGTTGAGCTGGGCGGAGCGGGGCGCCGAGAGGCCGGGCCGGGGCCCCACCTTGTGGTTCCGAAGGGCTTCCAGGTCCGTGTAGGTCAGCAGGTCCAGGGTGACGGACTCACTGCTCTGCAAGGGAGGGAAGAGCCCACGGGGTACATCACAGACGCGGGCTTCACCCTGCCCTACCCGCTCCCCCACAACACACTAGGCAGGGAGAGCTGGGTGGTGTCCAGCAGGGCCCAGGCCAGGCC